GGGAATGTAGTTGGTTTTTGCTGTGGTGTTGTGGGGTTTTCTGAGGTATACAATGATGGGCTGATTGTAGGATTATTTTGTTGAGGATTGCCGCTTCTTTATTGATATTTGTACTGTTAGGTATAAGTTCGCTTATATCATTGGTTAACTTTGAGAAAAGTTGCCAGTCTGCTTCTTTTGTTTTGAACAGGGGACTAGAAAAGTTTGTTGTCTGAGATTGCGGGAACAGGGAGATTAGGATTGGGAAGTGATCACTTCCATGGAGGTCTTCGAGTATTTTCCAGTTGGTGAGGGGGGTGAGTTGGGGACAGCATAACGAAAGGTCTATATGGGTGAGTGTGTTGTGTGTTGAGAAGTGGGTGGGTGTTAAGTTATGTTAAGTTAAGTTATGTTAAGTTTGTTGTTTAAGGCCGGTTAAATATGTTTTATGTGTGAGTCCCATCTGTATTTATTGTTTATTGTTAGTCCTAAGATTTTTAGGTTGGAGACTGAGGGAATTGGGCTATTATTGCATGAAATGTTGCATGTGCAGTTCTGCTGTCGACAAATGTGTGGGTGTTGGCATTTTTCTAGGGAAAGTGAGGCTCCTGAGTATGAACACTATTCGTGAATTTTTGAGAAAAGGCTGTTGAAGTTGTACGTTTGGTTTTTTTGTCTATTGAGGGGAATAATAAGGAAAAAGTCGTCGGCATAGGCACTGAATTGTATTTTTTTTTGTAGGCTGATGATGTAAGCGAGTCTGTTGTAGGCAATTAAGAAAAGAATGACCGATATTGGCGATTCTTGGGGGATGCCGTTGTAGAGGTGATATGGGGAGCTAATGCTATTTTTTATTTTCAGTCTTATTTTTCTGTTTGACATAAAGTTTTTGACGAAGTTAATAATGACAGAGGTGTGCTTTTTGGTTTTCAGCAACTTGGTTATCAGGTGGTCTGCAAGGAGCAGACCGTCTGAAACCGATTTGCCGTGTTTAAAACCCGATTGGTTGGGTTGGATGAGGTTTTTTTGGGTTACAAACCACCATAGGCGTTTGGCTATTATTTTTTCTAATGTTTTGGATAGGCAGCAGTTAAGTGAGATTGGTCTATTGTTGGTTATTATTGTTTTGTTTGAGTTGGGTTTTAGGATAAGTATAACTAGGCTGGTTTTGTAGGATTGCGGGATGAAGTTGTTGAAAATGGTATTAAATAGGTTTGTGATTCTGGTTTTTAGTACGTGGGAGGTGTTTTTGATCATGATTCTGATTCCTCTAAGGGAGTGTAATGCAGCTAGGAGTTCTATTTGTCTAATATCAGATTTTATTGTCTGTGCTGTCTCACTGGGAATGTAGTTGGTTTTTGCTGTGGTGTTTTCTGAGGTATACAATGATGGGCTGATTGTAGGATTATTTTGTTGAGGATTGCCGCTTCTTTATTGATGTTTGTACTGTTAGGTATAAGTTCGCTTATATCATTGGTTAACTTTGAGAAAAGTTGCCAGTCTGCTTCTTTTGTTTTGAACAGGGGACTAGAAAAGTTTGTTGTCTGAGATTGCGGGAACAGGGAGATTAGGATTGGGAAGTGATCACTTCCATGGAGGTCTTCGAGTATTTTCCAGTTAGTGAGGGGGGTGAGTTGGGGACAGCATAACGAAAGGTCTATATGGGTGAGTGTGTTGTGTGTTGAGAAGTGGGTGGGTGAGCCGTCGTTAAGTATAGTGAGGTTGGCGTTTTGGATAAATTTGGATAGGATTCTGCCTCTTCTGTTGTCTTGATGTGATCCCCAGGAGTGGTGCCAGCTATTGAAGTCGCCTAGTAGAATTTGGTTGGTGTTGGTATTGTGCGTTTCAAACTGGTCGCTTAAACATTTAAGTGAAAAAGTTATGTTGGGAGGAATGTATGTTGAAAAGATTCTGATTTTTGTTTTGGACATGATCTCTATTCCAAGAGTTCCTAGGGGTCTAGGTTGGTTTAATTGAGTGTGTTGTACGGATTTGTGGACTAATATGGCTACTCCACCGAATCGGTTGGAGGCTGTATTTGTACAGATTTTGTAATTTATTGGGACGGGGATGGGGGTATTTGTGTTGTAATAATGGGTTTCTTGGAGGCAAATGACTTGTGGTGAGTATTTTTTTATTATAGTTGAGAGTTCACTGTAGTTGATTGTGTAACCCTTGATGTTCCATTGAAGTATTATGTGTGACATTTTTGACATTTGGGTGTTATGGGTTTGGTTTAGGTTTAGGTTAAATTAAATTGAGTTTAGGTTATGAGTGTTATGGGTTTGGTTTGATTTCGGTTTAAGTTAAGGTTAAATTAAATTAAGTTTGGATTTGGTTTTAGTGTTTGGTTTGGTTGTTTTGAGGGTGGTAGAAAGATTGTTAGAGTTATCTTTAGCATATAGTTTGATTTTTAGGTCTTCTGTGAGGTGTGATGTGTATGGTTTGTTTGTTGCTTTGGTGTGGTGGGTGATGTCGGTATCCATGTGTTTTGGTTCTGGTTCGATCGAGTTAGGTTGCTGTGCAGATGTTGGTGATGGTGCTGGTGGTGTTTTGGTTGATGATGTTGTGTAAGAGGCTGCATTGAGTCTGCTGTGAGCGTGCAGTGCAGCTGAGATGGTTTGGTGTGTTGTTTTAGTCAGGGGTGTGAGTTGGGTGATTGGCGATGTGTTTGTTGGCGTATGTGTATTTGGTTTATTTGGTGCTTGCGTAATGGTTGAGTGTTGTGTTGTATTGGTGAGAGTTTTTGCATAAGATGTTCTGACGTGTTGGCCGTGTCGATTGTTATAGATGTTAAGTGCGGTTTTGTGGTCTGTTTTTTCTGTAATTTTTATAGCTGTTAGTTCTTGTTGTTTCAAGAATGCAGGGCATTTGCGGTCGAGGGGGCTGTGTTGGTGATCGATATCGGGATTGTTGCTGCAGTTAAGGTTTTTTTTCGTTTTTGCAAAGTTCGTTCTCATTTGTATGTTTTGCGTTTGAGCAGTTTTTGCATGTTTCTATGCCTTTACATACTGGTGTTGGATGACCAAAACGGAGGCACTTTCTGCATCGTAGGGGTAAGGGAATGTACGGGCGCACTCGGACTGTTTCGTAGCCTATTCTTATTTTTTCTGGGAGATTCAAGGTTCCGAAAGTTATTATGATGAGTCCAGTTTCTATTAGCATAGTGTTGTTTTCATCAGAGTTTGTGTTTGTTGGTGGTTTTTTTTAAAGATTTTTCTAACTTCTGTTACATGTTGTGTTTTTAGTTCCATGAGTATTTCATTTTCGGCTATGCCGCGCAATTCGTTGCAGTAAATGACTCCCTTTGTGGAATTTAGAGTTTTGTGTTCGGTGGCAGTGATTTCAATATTTTTCATTAGTCTTAGCCTTAGTAGTTTGATGGCTTGTAATTTGTTTTTTGTTTTGATTAAGAGTGAGCCGTCTTTTGTTTTCTTGCATGTTTCAACTTCCCCATCGCAAGCGAAGTCAATTGTTTTTTTGATAACGAACGGTGAAACGTTTTCAAAAGTGTTGTAGTTTCGTTTTATTGTTATGTACTTGGGTTCGCCTAGGTTTGTGTTGTTGGATTTTAGTGCGTGTGTTCTTATGTCCGGTGGTTCGTGCATGTTTGTTATTGTTGGGCAGATGCCCGCGATAACTGTTGATGCTGTTTTTGTTGTTGTGTTTTTCGTTTGCGTTTAGTGTTTAAAATTTGTTGAGCTTTGTGTTGGTTTTGGTTTGTTGTTTGTCGCGTCTTTAGGCTTTGCTGTAACACGTCTTATCTCTTCGGAGGTTGAAGTGGTACTGGACTGTTGATATATGAATCCATTTTGTGTACTGAGGTTGGCTCCGTACAAAAAAATTTGTATTTTTAAGTCGATGCAAATATTAATGTAATTTTTTATATTTAAAATTATTTATTAAATTTTTATTATTTTTAAGTAATACAAAATAAATTAAGGAAATAAAAGTGCAAATTTGTTGTTTTCAAAGATACATTTGATTAATTTTTATTTTTTTTTTATTTTATTATTTTTTGTTCGAATTATAAAGAACAAAGTACGCAGGGAACACCGCGAGGAGGCTATTATAATTATAATAGGGTCATAACTAAATATGACCTTCGAGTCGACTTGCAATGTAATTGTATTTTTTAGCACTCCTTTATTTCTTAATTGGAGAATAAAAATAATATTAATTTTATTTAAAGAAATTATGTAAATATTTGCATCGACTTAGAAATACATATTTTCTGCGGAGCCAACCTCAGTACACAAAATGCATTCATATATAAATACATATTTGGGATAGGTCATGATCTGCGCTTGAAAACTAACAAAATTAATTTCTTGCAAGCTAAAGCCAGAGCAGTGAATAACAACACATACTTTAAAGTTCTTATGCATGTATAATTCACGCATACAACGAAAGGTGCACGCACGCTATTGGCTGAGACAAGAACTTTTCTCGAGCATACACCGTCCAAAAAGAAACGTGAAATCAATCTATGTGTGCTATTTTCTTAACATAGTTATTGCGCAAGAAGCGCCTTGTGTAAAAATGATTTAAGTTTTTAAATTTTCCTGTAAAATTAATCGGTAATATCTAGGGTAATATTTCATTTAATCCATGCATTTCATGGATAAAGCACAAGCACTTTGCGTCGATCGTAAGTTCTAAACTTTTTCGCTCAATGTACTTCGAAAACGAAGCTACGCAAAGCAGCATCGACTAGCTTTGCTGATGGCAGGCTGGCGACTAACTTCGTAGCTCGTGTCAGCATCAGCAAGCCGCGACTTCGGCATTCGTTCGTCTGGTCTTTGGAGAACGAACAACCAGTCGGCAGGCATGCCGTACGAAGCCTTAAAGGCCAGATGAAAGGACAGGCTAGAAATTTTGCGTCGCATTCAAATGTATGGGCGGTACTCATCTTAGTGTTTATATTTTCTTTGGTTTAGCCATATATATATAAATATATATATATATATATATATATATATATATATATATATATATTTATTTGTATTTGATTTTATTAATTTTATTTCATTTTCTCAATGTTACAAAGTAAATTACGGAATTATTGTTCGATTTTTTATTTTCAAATGTTGTTTGCGCTCTTTTTTTTTTAATTTAAATCTTGTCCAGATCATTTGCCTGGCTCATATACCTCTTTTTTAAGCATTTGTTATGCAACTTGTATAATTTATAAAAACAATTGGCGCACATTATAACAACAATTATTATCAATAGTATATTTACTAATTGTAAATCCATGTTACTTGACTCTACTTTATCAATGACATTAGCAATGGAATCCACTGTCTTTAAGTCTACTAGTCCCATTTTTGGTTTATATATAATTAGCATGTGGTATTTTCTATATCATGAATTGCCATTATATTGCCCTTTGGCTATATGTCTTTTCTTTTTATTATTCACTCGCAGGTGAATTTACAATTTTTCCCGCCTATATTTTGTACAGCCTTCCAACATGTACTCTGATCGGGCGAGCTCTCGCTCAATTTTTTAAAATCATATATATATAAAACTAAAAATTCGTAGTGCGCTCTTTGTAGCGCTGTCGGTCCACTGTCGAACCTCGTTCAAGTTGCCGGTGCTGGTCTTCGCACAGGCCGGGATGGTTATATGTTGCCCTCTATTGCGCTCTTTGTTGCGCTGTCGGCTTGTCAATTTGGCAAATCAGTGCGCAGCCAATGTTGTAGAATGGACCCTCACAGTCCGCCGGACATTGTCTCTTATATGCTGGGATAGCTGTTTGAATATGAGGAGTTACTTTCTTGTTTGTAGTTTGTATCTAGCGGTAGGAGACGGATGCATTTTGTTTTTTGTTTATTAATTGCACTAGTTGTGCTTCACGAACGAGCACTTTTCATGCATGGAAACAGAATCGTTCCATGCTGGCGGGTTATCTTGATCGTTCAAGTCTTTGATGAGACGGTCAATTTCCGACCTCAGTCTTTGTTTGACACCACCGCGCTTTTTCTGTTACTTTGGTTTCTTATCCATCCGCACTCTACTCACTTAAATATTTATTTATTGTCCACAGCAATCCCTCCATCGCTGCTGTCTTTGTATTTTTTGCCAGAATTATGGTAAATGGGATCTGCTGTTGCTGTTGTCTTTGTTGAAGTTTGTTGTTGTTTGTTGCCAGCATTCTTGGCTGCCTTTCCACTAGTTTTTGGGATGTTTTTTATTCACTGCAGGTTAGTGAGACCATTGTCACGGTCGCCATGTAATGTCGTTACTGATATACAATTTAATTTAATACACTGGCACGTCTGTGCCGTTTAACTTTAGTTTTCAGAATGATTTTATTCAAAGTAAAATATTGCGCTTAACCTATGGATACATGTATATACTTATGCTGATATTGGTTAACAGCTACAAAGAGAGGGAGAGAGAGTAACTTGCATATGCTTGTGTTAGTGAGCATATATGTTGCTCATGGTATGCGCTCAGACGAAGCGTGGGAAATGCAGCGTAAGCATAAACGGTCAGCTATAGAGACTAGTGAACTGCGCTGCGTAATATGAACCAGAGCCAATATATAAAGTGGCTCTGGGCTTGTTTAATGTATAATTTTTATTGTATGCGACAAAGTGCCGCATACTTTATATTTGTATATAGAGTGTTTTTTTAAGGAATATACACACTATATGTCGGGAGCTCCCGACAAGGAAATACCCTGAACCCCCTTATTCCAACACCAAATAAATTTAAAACAAGTAAGAGGTTCTAGTCTAGAGCTCCCGACTGGGAGATACCCTAAACCCTCTTCTTTCAACATCAAATGCATATATATATTCTACTTTAGAAGCTATATGTCAAGTTTCGTGACCTAGCTCTTATTATTTACCAAAACTACTCAAAACACAAAATATATTTTCATTGATTGCTTGGAAACGGAGTACGTTATCGATTATCGGAAACAAACTCGATCTGCGCACGCACTAAAAGCACCTACATTTAAGATTTCAAGTCGCTAGCTCTTATAGGTTTTGAGATCCTTTCGTTCATACATACGGACATACGGACAGACAGACGGACCTGGCTAGATCGACTCGGCTATTGATGCTGATTAAGAATATATATATACTTAATGGAGTCGGAGATGCTTTCTTCTGCCTGTTACATACATTTGCATTTTGTACAAATACAATATACCCTTATACCCATTTAAAATGGGTTCAGGGTATAAGAAAAGTTCCATTGGCAGGGTTCGAACTCGCAACTGACCGCATTACTTGCTGTCGACTCTGCTCGGGAGCTCCCGACAAGAGCCTCTTATTTTTTTTTATTCCCTGAACCCATTAAAAATGGGTATAAGGGTATATTGCATTTGTGCGAAATCCAAATGTATGTAACAGGCAGAAGGAAGCATCTCCGACCCCATAAAGTCTATATATATGCTTAATCAGCATCAATAGCCGAGTCGATCTAGCCATGTCCGTCTGTCTGTCCGTCCGTCCGTCCGTATGTATGAACGCAAGGATCTCAGAGCCGATAAGAGCTAGAGACTTGAAATTTTAAATGTTGGTGCTCCTAGTTCCCGCGCAGATCGAGTTTACTTCCGATAATCGATAACTTACTCCGTTTCCAAGCAATCGATAAAAATCGATATCGATAACCTGTTTTTTTTTTGGCAATTGTGGTAAATAATAAGAGCTAGAGTCACCAAACTTGACATATAGCTTCTAGAATAAAATATATATGCATTTGATGTTGGAAAAAGAGGGTTCAGGGTATCCCCTAGTCGGGAGATCCCGACTATAATCTCTTAGCCGTTTTTTTGCTGGTGTGGCTGTTGAGGAAAGTCGACAGTAGGTAATGCGGTCAGTTGCGAGTACGAGCCCATCCAAGGGAACTTTTTTTTTAAATTTATTTGGTGTTGGAATAAGAGGGTTCAGGGTATCTCTAGTCGGGAGCTTACGACTAGATCCTCTAACTTGTTTAATTTATTTGATGTTAGAACAAGAGGGTTCTGGGTATTCCCTAGTCGGGAGCTCCCGACTAGATCCTCTAACTTGTTTAATTTATTTGATATTAGAACAAGAACGCCTCCCAGCTACTTCCACACATCAATTAATCAAGTTAATAACCCAACTTTTATTGCCAACCAATTTAAGCCACAATTTAAATGCAATTGACTTTTTTAGGATACACAAATATTCTATGGCACAATAAGATATACTGTAGAAAATTTCATAAAGACGGCTAAGAAAAAACCAAAAATATATGCAACTGCGCAATTGGATGAGGCAGCAGCCTTAAGAATGTCTGTATACAGGTACACACACATTCATGCACGTCTGCTTCGCATTCTAACAGCATGGGAATTGCGAATTTTTTCTGTAATGCTATTTAAGTTCCTTATTTTTAACATAAGTAGTTAATTATTGGTGTGGTTGCTGAGTAGAGGCATAGCAAGTGGTGCAGCCTGTCGCGAGTTCGAGCCCTACCGGGGAAAGTTTTTTTTTATGCCCGAACCCATTGAAAATGGGTAAAAGGGTTATATTGTATTTGTGCAAAATGCAAATGTATGTGACAGGCAGAAGGTAGCATCTTCGACCCCTTAAATTATATACATATTCTTGATCAGCATCAATAGCCGAGTTGATGTAGCCATGTCCGTCCGTCCGTCTGTATGTAGGAACGCAAGGACCTCAGAGCCTATAAGAGCTAGACTTGATATTTTAGATGTAGGCGCTCCTAGTGCCTGCGCAAATCGAGTTCGTTTGAGATAATCTTTAACTTACTCCGCAGCCAAGCAATGGACAAAAATCGATATCTAAATAGTGTTTTTCGGTCAATTTTGGTAAATAATATGAGCTTACATCACCAAACTTGACATATAGCTTCTAATATAGAATATATATATGCATTTGATGTTGGAAGAAGAAGGTTCAGGGTATCCCCTAGTCGGGAGCTCCCGACAAGAACCCCTTACTTGTTTATTTTGCTGGTGTGTCAGCTGAGCAGATTCGACAGCAAGTAATTCGGTCAGTTGCGAGTTCGAACCCTGCCAAGGGAACTTTTCTTATACCCAGAACCCATTTTAAATAGATATAAGCAAAGACAATATAAACACTAAGTTGAGTGACGCCCATAAATTTGAATGCGACGCAAAATTACTAGCCTGGCCTTTCATCTGGCCTTTGAGGCTTCGTACGGCATGCCTGCCGACTGGTTGTTCGTTCTCCAAAGACCAGACGAACGAATGCCGAAGTCGCGGCATGCTGATGCTGACACGAGCTACGAAGTTAGTCGCCAGCCTGCCTTCAGCAAAGCTGGTCGATGCTGCTTTGCGTCGCTTCGTTTTCGAAGTACATTGAGCGAAAAAGTTTAGAACTTACGATCGACGCAAAGTGCTTGTGCTTTATCCATGAAATGCATGCTTTATTTAAATTAACGAATAATTTTACAGGAAAATTTAAGAACTTATATAATTTTTACACAAGGCGCTTCTTGCGCAATAACTATGTTAAGAAAATAGCACACATAGATTGATTTCACTTTTCTTTTTGGACGGTGTATGCTCGAGAAAAGTTCTTGTCTCAGCCAATAGCGTGCGTGCACCTTTCGTTGTATGCGTGAATTATACATGCATAAGAACTTTAAAGTATGTGTTGTTATTCACTGCTCTGGCTTTAGCTGGCAAGAAATTAATTTTGTTAGCTTTCAAGCGCAGATCATGACCTATCCCAAATTTTTGTTGATATATGAATGCATTTTGTGTACTGAGGTTGGCTCCGCAGAAAATATGAATTTCTAATTCGATGCATATATTCACATAATTTCATTAAATTAAATTAATATTATTTTTATTCTCCAATTAAGAAAATACAATTACATTTCATGTTAACTCGAAGGTCATATTTAGTTATGACCCCATTATAATTATAATGGCCTCCTCGGGGTGTTCCCTGGGTGCTTTGTTATTTATAATTCAAACAAAAAATAATAAAATAAAAAAAAAAATTAATGAAATGTATCTTTGAAAACAACAAATTTGCACTTTTATTTCCTTAATTTATTTTGTATTACTTAAAAATAATAATACTTTAATAAATAATTCCAAATATAAAAAATTACATAAATATTTGCATCGACTTAAAAATACAATTTTTTTTGTACGGAGCCAACCTCAGTACACAAAATGCATTCATATATCAACAGAAATTTTGGGTAGGACGTGATCTGCGCTTAAAATCTAAGAAAATTGTTTCTTTGCCAGCAAGAGACTTTGCCAGAGCAGTGGATAACATCACATTCAAATATGCTGTTATGTATGTATATTCCCACGCATACAAACATAATTGCTTGCACGGCCCTCATAGAGCCGAGGCTGAGAGCAAATTCTATTTTAAGCTTTTTCGTTCTCTCGGCTTTGAATGTAACAGGCAGAAGGAAGTATCTTCGACCCCATAAAGTATATATATTCTTGATCAGCATCAATAGCCGAGTCGATCTAGCCATGTCCGTCTGTCTGTCCGACTGTCCGTATGTATGAACGCAAAAATATTAAAACCTATAAGAGCTAGAGACTTGAAATTTTAGAAGTAGGTCCTCCTATTGCCTGCGCAGATCGAGAATGTTTCCGATAATCGATAACCTACTCCGGTTCCAAGCAATCGATAAAAATCGATCTTGATATCGTCTTTTTTGGGAAATTTTGGTAAATAATAAGAGCTTGCGTCATCAAACTTGACCTATAGCTTCTAAAATAGAATATAGATATGCATTTGATGTTGGAAGAAGAGGGTTCAGGGTATCCCCTATTCAGGAGCTCCCGACTAGAACCTCTTACATTTTAATTTATTTGGTGTTGGAATAAGAGGGTTCAGGGTATCCCCTAGCCGGGTGCTTCCGACTAAAACCTCTTACGTGTCTTTATACCGTGAACCCATTGAAAATGAGTAAAAGGGGTATATTGTATTTGTGCAAAATTCCAATATATGTAACAGGCAGAAGGTAGCAGCTCCGACCCCTTAAATTATATACATATTCTTGATCTGCATCAATATCCGAGTCGATCTAGCCATGTCCGTCCGTCTGTCCGTATATATGAACGCATAGATCTAAGAACCTATAAGAGCTAGACTTGATAGTTTACATATAGGTGATCCTAGTGCCTGCGCAGATCGAGTTTGTTTTCTATAATCGATAACCTACTCCGTTTACAATCAATCGATAAAAATCGATTTCGACATCCTGTTTTTTGAGCAAATTGGGTAAATAAGTAGATCTAGAGCCACTAAACATGATATGTTGCCTCTAGAATATTATACTTTCATTTTATACCTATCGCCACC